AATTATAACTGCTGCCACTCTGAAACTGACTTTACCCAACCAGAGCTAAAATGGTATTTCTAGCCTGATTTTCTGACATTTCTTTACCACATTTGATGTGTGTTTCGGGTCATTGGTTTGTTACAACACCCAAATATGTTCAAGACCCAAACTTAATAATAATAATAATAATAATAGTAGTAATAATAATAATAATTCTTATTATTGTTGTTATTTTAATTAATTTTTTTAATCTGAAGTGTCAACAAAAAGCATCTGACCATTAAATTGGCCAGGGCCACATCATCATTTGATTTTAGGTCATCCTGTAGTTGCTGATGTCAAACAAACACAGAAATGTGTGTGCATTTACTGAAATGTATGTATTGCTTTAGAGCTTTCTGTTTAATGTTATGTGTTTAAGTAAAAAGCTGCATATAGGTCAGGCTATAACATAAGTGAGCATGAAATTTTGGTCTTGGATCCTTGGTATGTGCAGGAAGCTGAAGAAGTTGCTCCGGAAGAGGAAGTCGGACTTGGACTCAAAGCAAGAGGAGGAGCTGAACAAGTCCCTGCATCGCCACGAGAAAGACCACTTCCTGGGTCCATTTGTTGGCCTCAGCCCTGAGTACATGGAGATGAGTGAGTCTAACCATACATATAGTTGAAACTGGAAGTTTACATACACTGTATAAAAAGACATAAAGCCTTTTTTTTCCTCACTGTCGGACATTAAATCAGACTAAACTTTTCCTGTTTTTGCTCAGTTAGGATTACCACAATGATTTCTATATGCTAAATGCCAGAATAATGAGAGAGAGAATTTTTTATTACTTTCTTTAAAGTCAGAAGTTTACATACACTAAGATTACTATTCCTTCAAACAACTTGGGAAAGTCCAGATGATGATGTCATGGCTTTGGAAGCTTTTGATAGGTTAATTGACAACATGTGAGTTCATTGGAGGCACACCTGTGGATGTATTTTAAGGCACATCTCAAACACACTGCTTCCTTTTGTGACAACATGGAAAATCTAAAGAAATCAGCCAAGATATCAGGAAGAGAATTGTGGATGACCACAAGTCTGATTCATCCTTGGATGCAAGTTCCAGATACCTGAAGGTTCCACGTTCATCTGTTCAAACAGTTATACACAAATAGAAACACCATGGGAATGTCCAGCCATCATAGCGCTCAGGAAGGAGACGGGTTCTGTGTCCCAGAGATGAACGTGTTTTGATGTGAAATGTACCTGTTAAGTTGTAAAACATTTTCGAAAAAAAATCTGTCATTATTCTGGCGTTTAGCAAATAGAAATAATTTATTAATGTTGGTAATCCTAACTGACCTAAAACAGGAAATGTTTAGTCACACTAAATGTATATAATAATAATATATATACTAATAGGGTATGTGGCTTTTTATACAGTGTATGTAAACTTCTGGTTTCAACTCTCCTCTTTAGTAATACACTGTCTTCCTTGTCTGAAAAAAAGTCCTCATCTTCATCTTCTCGATTAGAGTGACATCTTCTGCCCATGATGTTTGAGAAATGCTATGTGTTAATGTTGAGGTCAAACTTAATGGCTGTGACCACTTTGAAATAATCACTGTAATGCTCAGCTTCTATATACCAACAAACACACTCAGTCATTCCTGTTCTTTTCCTCCTGCTTCATGCTGGACCTTTGCTTGACTTTGTAAATGTCTGCTCCTTTCAGCACAATTTGTTAAAATGGCAAACATGTTCCTCTGATAAAGAATGTAGAAACTAATTGCCATGTTGAGGTAGACTGTGCTGACCTTTAAAAGTTCAATATTGCAATGTACAGAGTGAAAGAATCAGTGATGTGGAAACCCTGACTAGATCATGTTTCGTGTCCACCACAGAGATTTCTATGCATGAATGTGTATGTTTAATTAAGACAGGTCGATGATGCTTTCATTTTACTGTGGCTGGTCAGAGTCTGTGGCTGTTGTGGCCTTTAAATCACCTTTTGAAAATCTAAATTGATGAACAGTTTATCCATTCATCTCAGCTGATTGAAGGTGATCTACATGATAAAGACTGACTCAAGCTTTTAGTGCTACAAAACATTCCAATCCTACTGAAAAACAACAAAACTACTCCAGCTCAGCACTGATATGTCTTCATGTCTGTGATATGCATCAGGTAAAAGACAGCTTGCTACAGCAGCTGTGTTCAAAATGTCTGAGACTTAATTAACCTGCATCCTCCAAAATGATCTACATCCATGATTTTACTGCAACTTTCCAGTGCACATTGCACATTTTGCAAGATGTAGTGTTTGAGGCAGGACAGTCACAAAATGAAAGACCTACAACAAAACAAATCATTTCAAATGGCTCAGCCCTGACTGTAGTGACAGTAGGCAGCATTAGTCAGTCAGGTATTTGAAGCAACACAATGAGCATCGGTGTGAGTTACGCTCCAGAGCCCGGCAACGCATATTAGCATATAGATCGGTTCACCTTTTAAAGTAATGAGTATTGATGGAATGACTTTTGCATTATTTCAGCCAATGATTGGAACGAACCAAATCAACATGTATGTGCGTTAGATGCATAATGGCTTTAAAGCTGAACTAATCAATATTTTTTTATTAACAACGGCAGCAGCAGGTATCTGTTTCTGATGAAGTACCTGACTGGCGCTAAACTGCAGATACACTCAGAGACTGACTGATGAACAAAGATAGCAAAGGAAGAGACTTGTTTTTATTAAGACCTGATGAAGACCAAAGTGGAGCTAAAAGGAGAATACATACCAAGCCTCTGCTCATCAGGCAGCCAGAAACCCAATGTACTCAGCTCTATTGAATAGATACCACACAGATAGCACTCTAATCAAACCATAACCACAGTCAGACAAGACAACATGCAAACTGTGTGACGACTCAAATGTTACAAAAGGCACAGGTTAGATATATAACATAATGAAACCGAACAATGTCCCCAGTGTAATGCTCTGAATTCTAAACACCAATTACCAAATGCGGTGGGACCTCACTTCATCACAACAGTCTTCCTCCTCTCAATTCCTGGAATATGGCTCCAGTGCTAATGCTGCTCTGTGTGTGCTGGATGTGTAAATATTGTAGGCAGCTGTTTGCTTATGTGTTACTAATAACAACAACAAAAGACGATAAATGTCACATGTATTTCTAATTTGTTCTACTGTTCCTTAGCGGTCAAAAATAAATTAATGCAGCTTTAAGGTAGCTGAAGCTTCTGCCTCTGATGTGGCTCTTAGCTCCAGCCTGAACATCTCCTCCATATACATCTTACTTTTCCAATAGATAATCTGTAAAGCTTCTGAGGGCTCAGCTGAACATGTACACATCAGAGAAAAGGCAGTTTTGATCATGTTAGATTTTTGCAGTAGCACACGATAAATTGGTACAGGGGTTCTCAACTGGTCTCACCCTGGGACCCACATGTTCCCATGGTCATTAAGTCGCACCCCAATTTTTTTTAGAATTTAATATTCAATATATTTACCTGTGCAACATGCATTTCAGAGCATATAACCATGCACAGTAACTGAACCATGACAAGTGCATGTACAAAACTGCACAAAATAAATAAGGCCACAAAACAACATATTTTCACTCCATTTTGAGCAAATTAATGAGAAACTAAGGAGGACCATGACAACTGCATGTACAAAAGTGAATAAATAAATATCAAAACTACTTGAAGACAAAGTTTTGGCCTAATCAGGTCATTTGTTGAAGTTAATAAGACAGTTGGACACGTGCTCTACTCTTGATTAGAGTTTCAGAGTCTGGGGTGACAGTAAACAGAGCTGCTCTCAGATCATTTATTATTCAGACGGGGGGTGCGGGTGCTGAGCTTTCGGTCCGACTGACAGTCACACTGCTGTATCCGTGGTAGCGGCAGCAGCAGGGGGGAGGTGGGAGGAATATCAAAATTGATATCATATCCCTAATTGACTATAACAAATAGTTGGCTATTGAGGTCCAGCCCTAGTATGAAAATCCACATTTTAAATACTCCGGGTCATATTTGAGCTTTGCCATCTTGCATCCCAACATCAACACAAACTTAAAATGAACGTCAAACAAACTATGGTTACCGTGCCTGTCAAAATAAAAGTTTTTTCCAAAATAAAAAACAAGTCCAACCTGAGACGCACATTATATATTACTGAATTTTGACCAGCTGTCCACGACCCACCCAGAACAGGTCCGCGACCCACTTTTGGGTCGCAACCCACCAGTTGAGAACCCCTGAATTAGTATATGAGATGAAAATAGAGCATTTAAGTGACTTTATTAAACCACAGTGAAATTGTTTTCAGGTAAAGATAAAATTATCATATTTAGTTGTTTCATTCTTCGGTCATGGAAAAGAAGGTGAATGGTTTAAAGCAGACTTTATGTGGGTTCATTGACCTCTTCATAGTAGTTTGTTTACAGTAAAACATTGTCACTGACAGATTTAAAGCAAAATATAGACATGTTTTGTGGCCATTTTTACCGTATTCTTGTATGCTGTCTTGATGTGGTTACATCAGGTGAACGCAAACAAATTCTGCAATCGTGTGGAAAAATAAGTACATCCCCTGGAAACTCTTTGCTTTTTTTTATTTATTTATTTCTTTTTTTAACATATTTGAACAAGCAAATATTTGATCCTCTTTGAATCTGATAAAAGTGATGTACTAAAACAAACCTTTTTCCTTTTTTACAATATGTACTTTGTCTTGATTTTTTGTTTGTCTGTTTGTTTGTTTGTTCTTCAAAGATTTACACACATTTTAGACCACTATGGTCTCATTTCCATTTTTCTCACCCAGGCTTAGGCCGGGCTCACACTACAGGAGTTTCAGGTCCATTTCGTCTCCTTACAACTATATAGACACATCAGGGCCACCCTGTCCAATATCAAACACGTTTAACGTGTTTTGCAGGTCCCGATGGACACAGTTATTACAGAAGAGCCGCGGACACTGTTTCCAAGCAACACTAAACATTGTACGCCTTGAGGCTAGCTTGAGCTACAGCTAATAAAGCTGATAGTTAAAATCTCACCTCCACTTAATAAGCAAAACCATGTTGACGGCATCTTTCAAAGCATTTTCTCATCAAAGCTTGTTTTACTGTCTGTTTTTTTTGTTCTCACTGCAAAGTATTATCAGTGTCACAGCAAGTTGTTGCACCACAGTCTTGATTTTATTCATATCTACTCCCCCATGAGATCAGATGAGCTGCTGCTTTCACTGCTCTCTGATTGCTCCCTCTGGAACTATAATCCTAAGTATCCTGTAGTGTGATATATATATATATTTTTTTTTTACATTTTGCATATCTGAGATTAGACAGAAGAATGCTTGTAAAGCTTTCTCTTTGTGTGCGTGATGAAGTCTTGTTTTAAAATCTTTTAGGATTTTAAAAGTCTGATAGTGTGTTCCTTTTTTGAAGTAGAAGACTGTGTGGTCATCCTTGCTCATTTCTCCTGTTATCTGTTTCTGTAGTCATCCAGTTTGGGATGGTGACGCTCTTCGTGGCTTCCTTTCCTCTGGCGCCACTCTTTGCTCTTCTAAATAACATCATTGAGATTCGTCTGGATGCCAAGAAGTTTGTTATGGAGCTGCGCAGGCCGATTGCAGCCAAAGCCAAAGACATTGGTACGTATCAACCAGTTTATTCCCCTAGATGTTTTCAGCTACATTGCTTCGTCTGGGTGAAAAATCCAAGAGAGGAGCTACGGATGAAGGAGATATGCAGTTTGCCTCAATAAACATTATGCTGGAACTGGGATTCACCTGACTGTGTGGGCTCTCAGTATTAGGAAATAGACCTCAACAGTCCAATCAAACAAACAGAATTTTCACTTACATAAAGTGGCTGACACCTTTTTTCTGTCCATACTGGTTGCAAAGAGACAGTGTTACAGATGGTGCCAAATCTGCAGTCCTCTTTCTGTTCCTTTTATCATAATATGCAGTTGAACCAAATCAAGTGTACATCTTCACAGTCACAAAGCTTACTGTCTTATACTCAAGCTGTTCAGGACAGCAAAAAAGTGCAGCATTGCACAGAAAACACTAACTTTAGAAATCACACTTTATTTTCCAAGGTCAGACAAGTGAAACCTCACATTAGCTTTAACTGAAGTTTAGAAAGCATTTTTGCACAAAATGAATACTGTGGAAACTTGTGGGCATAATACTGAAGTCTGTATTTCTTCGGCTTCAGAGCGTCCTTAAATGCAGCAGACATGCAGTGTATTTTTTATGGATTGTTTCCTTCCTCCAGTGTCTTACACCACAACAAACTTGTAACATGAAGCTAACAGCAAGTAGGATTACATGTTGCAAGGCTCAAGTTTCTGTTAGCTGGTTTTCTTCATGTGCCACCTTAAAGTGAAAACCAAGAAAAATACTCACCAGAACCTATGGATGCCAAAGAGCAGTTTATAGTTATTGGACTAAAACATTCCCAACGACTCACTTATGTTTGTTTAATGCACACACAGTAGCGTCTCTTGTCCTGAGTGCAGAGTGATTGTGCCATCTAGTGGTGGCTGCTACTTACTGCACCTATAGCGTGCACAATGTTGGAGCTGCTGTTTTTACCTGAAAGATTTCCTCGGTCTCTCTGCAGGTATCTGGTACAACCTCTTGAGGGGCCTCAGCAAGGTAGCAGTCATCGTTAACGTAAGTCTTATCTGTCTTTACAACCTGCATTTCTCTATCTGTGTGAGTCTTTAAAATTCTGGTTAAAATCTGTGATCGGTGATCGAGCACGGCCACATTATCAACAGAAATGTTCATGTTTGGTAAAGCAGAGATGAGAGATGTCCTACATTGCAGTCACTGAAAAATGCTGAAACTTCACAACTAAGGATTTCATGTGTTATGTTGCATTTCGTACATTCACAACACAAGCTCATCATTTCCTTGGAAATGTTGTTCCATGTATTCAGATGGCCAGTGAGATGGGCTAAAAGTTTTCTTGATTTCCTCTGAAGAGGTGGGGAGACCCCTTAGACAGGCTTAATACATGTATAGTAATAATAACATCTAGCATTTACTGTGAGAATTACACTTGCATATAAGCAGCAGGACCTCATTTAATTCCTGTTTTAAAATATCTCAGAGCCAAATAAATGTAGATATGAAGCTGTGCTAGGCTCACAGGCCTTAGTTTAAACATGCTGGTTGTAACACTAAACTGGAAACTAGAAAATGAAAGAAAACACTTAGTTACAGATTTTCTTGACTAAACCAGCAGGAGGAAGTCATGGCTTGTGCTGGTTACTGGTCTCATAATGACAGTGAATAGATGAGCAGTCTTCTGTCCTTCAGGCTTTTGTCATCTCCTTCACGTCTGACTTCATCCCGCGGCTGGTCTACCAGTACACGTACAGTCCTGACGGCACCATGCACGGCTTCATCGGTCACACTCTATCATACTTCAATGTCAGTGATTTCCAGCCTGGCACAGACCCTCTGCAGCCAATGCACCTCGGCTACAAAGTAGACGTATGCAGGTAAGGTTTCGCTTTACTACACTACAGACTTAACTGAGTTCATACCTGGCAACGTTGGGATTTGAAACTAAGGGAAATTTCTGAGCTGTCTCACCACCAAACTGGAACGCATCAAATGAAAAAATCTTATGTATGTAACAGAAGTGAGTACACCCCTGAGCAAAATTACTGAAATGTCAAATGATTCAAAATTCTGTGAAGCATCAAATTTCATCAAGCATCAATTTCAAACTCTTCTTTTTTTTTTTTTTTTTTTTTAAATGGATCCATGGTGCATTTATAAGCGGTGTATAGAAAATGGAAGGAATATCTGCAGATATGCAGCTCAACAATAGAATAGAATAGAATAGTTCTTTATTGTCACTGTGGAAGCAATGCTAAAAAGACAGTGTTAGAGCAGTGAAATGTTGTTGTAGCATTCTTTTGTGGAAGCAATACACAAGTAAAAAAAAAAGATAAAATAACGTGAAAGGGAAGATAAATATATAAGTAGTATATATACATAAGTATAAAATGTAAAATATTAAAGCAAAGGAGGTATTTACAGGTCAAACTACAGTATTTAAAGCATAGAGTATTTACAACAGTGTAAGTGGCATGTGCATGTGAAAATTCTAGTCCAGTGCAAATTATTGCCCAGAGGTCTGTGCGAGTGGGGGATCAGTTCTGGGTTGGTTGAGGAGTTGGGTGCAGTGAGGGGTTGGGTGAGGGGTGAGGGTGGGGGTGGGGTGATGGCTCTTAAAGCCTGCGGGTAGAAGCTGTGCTTAAGATGGTTTGTTTTAGTCTTCATTGTCCAATATCTTTTACCAGAGGGTTGGGGGGAGAACAGGGGGTGTCCAGGATGAGTGGGGTCCTTTGCAATGAATGTGGCCTCTTCTGAAGTCGGCCAGTGTAAATGTCTTCCAGGAGAGGTAGTGTGGTCCCAACAACTTTCTCAGCCGCCCTCACCACCTGCTGCAGGTTCCTCCTGTCCTCTGCAGTGCAGCAGGATGTCAGGATACTGCTGTCCTCAACTGATAATGTTCTGGTCACAATTGTGTTCCAATGAGCACAAGTTTTCTCATTTATTTCCTACATTCTGTGGCCTGTATTTTTAATACAATCTTTCTGAAGTATTTGCTTTTTAATGCTCATCAAAGGAAATACTTTACTGTTCAACTTTTAAATAATGCAATTTTTGAGAGGCGATGCAATTTGGAACCATTTGACATATGAATGATATTGTATACTACAGAGGTGTGTAAATATATCAAGACTCTCCATTTTGCTGTCTCCAGATATAAGGACTACAGAGAGCCGCCCTGGTCTAACACCCCATATGAACTTTCCAAGGAGTTCTGGGCCATTCTAGCCGCTCGCCTCGCCTTTGTTATTGTCTTTCAGGTTTGGAACACACAAACATATTAATACCAAATCATACATGCTGTATGCCTCTACATGCTTTTAAACAGGCATTTGTATCTCATGATTAGGGAAATGTCACATTTAAATTCTAAATTATAGGATGCTGAGTCAAATTTCTTACAATTCCAGATTTAATGTAGACATCACATTTTGAGGTTTGTATTTATTGTATGTATGTATTTATTTATTATTGAATCATAATTTATGTATTTAGGAGCCAACAGATGACCTTCCTGATAAAAGTAGCTAATGTTGTCAAGTCTGCTGCTTTTGCTGGTAATAGAAACATATATATGACAATATTCATTTAGTTTCGCTTCATGGTATCAATTTATAATTGCAAATTATTTTTATGTTAAAAAGCAGCTTTGGTAACATTATTTGTGCTCCTAATGTTCTTAAAGTGAGACTACTTGGAAATATAATGCTCCTCCTCTTACATATTAATTTTCTGAATTGTAAGCAACAAATGTAAGTTGTTTTTCTCAGTTCATTTCATTGAGGGCTTTTCAAACCACAGCCGTAGTTGATCTGGTGTAACTGGTAGCTTGTCATGGCTTATGTCAGCAAACTGAAGAAAGACTCTAAGTGACATAAATAACTCTGTTATCTTCAGGGCTCTTCTGTACTTCTGCTGCTGTTACACCATGTTTTAGCAGTACATCGACATTTTAATCATCAATGTAACAATGAAGTCAAAGAAGAACAAAACACACAGTCGTGTGGCTGTGCTGGCTCCTGCTCAGCAAAAGGTTCTGTCCATTATTGAGAGATTGGTTTCTAAGGTGCTCTGGTCTCTTGCTCTGTCCTGCAGAACGTGGTGATGCTTATGAGTGACTTTGTGGACTGGCTCATCCCGGACATCCCTAAAGACATCAGCCTCCAGATTCACAAAGAGAAGATCCTTATGGTGGAGCTCTTTATGAAAGAGGAGCAGGGAAAAAGGCTTGCAGCTCGGGACAAAGATGGCCAGGACAACTGCACTTCCCCTTCCTCAGCCAATGAGAGCCCGCCACAGCCCCGCTCACGACCTGTTTCACATGCTAACTGCTGTTAAACTGCTAGCTGCTGGGGTCTGGAAAAACAAGCACAAACAGCAATGAGCAAACACAACAAACTGTAAATACAGGGGCTGACTGGTAAAGGTTAGAACAGTTATCCATTAATATAAGGTCAGTTTTGAATCGTCAGCAGAGCTTTTGCTGCAATTACATTGTTTGGGAACATTTGCAGGACTTAAACTTTTGATGTGCTCACATTAGAATTAGAATCCCAATTTAAGATGTTACATTTTACTCACATTTTACATCTTCAGCCATTAACTCAAACTCCAGCAAGTAGTACACAGACAGTACTTTGTCACAGATTTATGAACTCACAACCGTATTTATTTGAATGGAACAAGCCATTAGCTTGATGGAGGAAATCAACTTTCAGGACATCGAAGAAGCAGTGATAAACTCCACCTGCGGTAGATTTTAAAGCCTCTCCCAGAGGACATGATTTCCCAATGAAGACAGCCTCTGTCAGTCCGTCCAAATGGTCCTGCTGAGAAGAGCTTCCTTCTGGTATCTTATTGTAAGATCCAACAGAAAAAGAGATCTTCTCTCCTAGCATTAGTGTGTAAAGCTAAACAGGCCTTTTTTTAAATTTTTTGCACAATTATGTACAAATGCAGGAATTTAATGATGTGCTTTTTGTATATGCAACATGGTCAAGCACATGTGCTTTTGTTGTTGGGATGAACAGCAGGTTTTGGAAAACCTGTTGATTTATACTACTCTCTTGTATGAGCACCATATTGCTTTTTATTACGTTTGTTACATTTGTAGTACGATCAAACAGCCTGACAGGGTTCAGTGATACAATTCCTGGAAGCACAAGTCACATTATTTTTCACACTAATGAACTGGAATTCTTAAAAGTACAATTGGCAAGATTTAAAGTGTAAACACAAAGATGTCATGCTCCATCTCACTTTGATGAGATGCTGTAAATACATATCGTGTGTCCTTGCTAAACTCTGGTATTGGGTATGGGCAGAATCTTTTTGACACATTAATTCATGACTTGCAAACAGCTATTGACACATCCAGCACAACATTAGCGCCCATTTGGAGCATTTCAGTCCAGTATTTACTGTTCTCTGCCTCTTTCATCTTTTATTAACTCTTAACAAGGTACTTACCCTCATCTGAGCTCCTTACAGACGTGCACTCTTCTCCGATAATCTGACGGCATCTGAACGTGGGGACTTCGTGTCTGAATGAAAACCTTGGTAGCTTTTCCATAAAAGTTGTGATGTGAATCTTATTCGGTCAGATTTATTAACATTTGCACATTACTTTAAACACAGCACAAGTCTAAACTGTATGCGGTCGCATTAACAAATAGGCAAAGCTCAAGCAGTGCACTTCAAGTTGTGTGAAGTGATTTGAGGAAGGCTTTTTTCACCTTTTAGCACCATTACTGGTCAACAAATATCACACAGAGCACAAAAGATATAGTGTAGTACAAAAATCACAAAACCCCTTTCTCATTCACTTTGCTTTAGAATTTTATATCTATTACAAACAAATGTCCAGAAAATGGACATTTCAGATATTATGCATACAGCTGATACAGTTTCTATCTTCATCTCCATAAGACAGATCAGGTCAGATTATTGATACTCACCAGTAATGATTGTAATCTAGGTTTTCACTAAACATAAACAGGAGCTGAAGTGTTGTTGCTTCCAGCTGTTCGTAGGAGTCTTTCTTCTGAGTTTATGAAATACCTGCAGCATCAGACAGCAGCAGGATCCATATGAATGTCTTCAAAAAGAGAAAGAGTTTCACACATTTACACATGTTGAACAACATCAGTAACTTTATTAATTACTTTCAATTATTAATTATCCCCAACATGGAGGCAGGATCGATCAGGATCCAAGAACAAGTCGCACTTTGAACTTCTCCTAACATCAGACAGTAGAGTTGTCCCACTAACATGCAGTTTACATCATTTATTAGATAGCGGCCATCCTCATGTTGGGTCCTGAGCTCCGTCACAGCTGTCGGGGCATTTCTGTTTTAATGTCAGTAAAGCAATAGATAATCATCACACATGGACGGAATTATTTAGTGTTGAGGAAATCGTTAATAAAGTAGGCTGTTAGTTATGTGGACAGTTTGATAAACTTGCTTTTGTCTTTTGTTTATTAATGTTTAAGTATAAGGCATTACTTGATGTCAAATATTACATGTACCGTGGCTCTATCATCACTGTGGTGGGGATGTCTGAATGAGACTGTGATAAGCATTAAGGTAAAAATGACCTATTGATAACAGATTGACAAAGCAGCAATGTTACGTATCCCATGTCAGAAAAGGGCTTAGTAGTGTGGGGCTGGGCAGTTAGAGTGCAGTCACTTTCTTTTTTTTTCTCCAGAGAAAATGGCTTACTGCTGCTGTAAAACAACGTGCAGCAAGTCACCAAAAGTCTCTGTGAAGATGAGATGAACTGCAGTTTGTCATTATGAGCAGCGCCTGTTACATTACACATAGTCATGATCTAGTGTTAATGTTAAAACAAATGGTCAGTGCAGCTTTTAAAGTGCTTTAGTCTCCATGACTCCAAATGAATGCTAATGTTGTTCTGTCTGGTGAATGTATAATTATATGCAACTGTCATATCATTGTCTTCTTTTCGCTCCTGCCTCTGTTCGTGTAGGTTTGAATACCTGCATAGCTCTCTATTTACAGGAAGAGAAGCTGTCGTGTCTTTTGCATCATCAGCAAACTGTCCAAGTGCAGTATATTGATGTCACCTTGTCTTCAGTTCAAATTCCTGTCATTCCTGCAAGCACCAATGGGAAATGTTGGCCTTTGCAGCTTCACAGAGCCCAGAACTGATTGAACCAAAACATCCGGCCACAGCTCCTCAGATGCTCAGATTTAGGGGTTTCTGAGTAAAGTCTTCTCCCCAGAAAGCAGATCATAGTGGTATTTGGTAATGCAAGCTAGGTAGTTAGCATAGAGTTAGCACCTGTAAATAAAATGTAATTGTCCATTTCAAATGTGTGTTTAAATATTTACCACACAGGTTTGCCGACAGATTTAAAGTTGTGTATTGAAATTGGAACTGAATGCACTTGTGGTTAAAGTCACATGCAGTGTTAGGTGTAAACAGTTCGTGCCATTGTCCTCACGTGACATCTAAAGACTACGTCCTGGTACTGGTGGGACTGGGGAATCTTGCTTATCGATATGAGATTCTAATTTAGAGGGACTTCACATTTAGTTTTTTTGCGAAAGGAGAAATTTTGTGATGTCTCTAAAATGCCAGGGTCTTTCTCAGTGGCACTTGAGTGACAGTTGGTGATGGAGGTGACAGCGTTATCGACTCTCTCTGCCTTATATTCTTCAGCTGCTCCAGGGATTCAAACCATGAACTGATCATCTTCTGAACTATCATCGACTCATTGTAGTTTACCTTTCAGTGGTCTTCATACAAAGGGATTTATCAGTCAAACCTGGCAGAGCAACACTGTTTCAACATTATTATCTTGCCTTATATACTAACATAATAAATCGTCTGGCATTCAACCGAAGCTGCGGCTCTTTAGCTATTCAAGCACAAAGACTGAATGATATTTTCTTTTGTATTTATCAAACTGCAAAAACATATGTGGGAGTGACTGGATGACATATTGAAGAATGGAAGTGTAGTATTGTGATATAGACAAAGGTCAAGTCTACAGTGTGTAATCCACCTCTTGCTGTAAATATATACAGTCACCTAAAATTTAAGCCCTCAGCTCAGACTTATAGAATGTATGATTTAGTTTTTTGTTTTTTTTTATCGTCAATGAATCATGAGCTTGAGGTCAAAATATATCTGTTGTACATTTGTCTTTTATTTACATGACAATGCATTTCTAAGTGTATCTAACGTGTTGACAGGGTGTTATCAGCCCACAGGGGACCAGTGATCTGCCAACTAAAGACTTTCACAAAGACAGTAATGAGCTTCATCTTATTGTATCCATTTAAAATCATCATTTAATAATCTAGGAACCACCAAGATGGACATTTGTTGCTGTGTCTGGAAGGATGCCTGGGAAAACATCTTCTAATACAGCTTACAGACATTTTATCGCTAGAGATGTTACTTCTTTCTGGGCGATGACAAAAACTGCACATTTTATTTTTTACCAAATCATTTTCCTGGTAGTACTGTGTGTAACTAGGCTAGTGTTGATATTCAGTGATAGATTATGTGTTGCCAGAGGGCTTTAGAGCCTGGTTAGAGCCTCTAAATATCCTTTACCTTGCTGTCACATGTGAAGACCCTTCCTTGGTGTCCTCATGAGATGACCTTCCCCTGCCATCTTGTGTCATGTGGCATTTACAACATCAGTTAAATGCTACACGTTGTAACATGCTAATACCTGTCCTAATGTATGTCAGAGCACATTCCACAACATGCCTGAGTGCATCTGCATGTATAACCAACTAGTCTGTCTCTGATATTTTGCCTTTTTTTGTTGTTTTAACTAACTGCAAATAAAGCAGAGGTGAATTGCCTGAGTGGAGATGTGTGTTTTGGTACTTTGATTAATTGCATTATTTCTTTCAGGGAATTTCTACATCTAAAGTAGTAAAGTGTCAGCTAAGGAGAATCTTCAAGGCTTTCATTATCTTATGTTGAGACTTTGTCTTACAAACAATTTGTGTCAGAATCTAGTTTTATAAGCTTTGTTGCTCTTGTTGCTATTGTATTGACACTGTAGTGGGAAGATGAGAGCAGTGGGTTGGGGGTCAGTACAGACCTAGTGACAGGCATAGACTGTATAAAAGATGGACGTAGCAACCAGCCCTGAAAAATGAAGCCAACCTGGAAGTGTCAAAAACCTGCAATGTCACTATGTCTGCTAGTTGCTGGCTCTAAAAAGCCCTGGCTCCCATAGACATGATTTGGAAAAGAAGTGATCACAGATCAAGAAATACTGCATTCCTACAGCTCAGGATTTTTTTCTTATTAGTTTTCATAGTCAAATCCAGAAATCAGGTGGCCAATCTGAAAATAAATCAATACTGAATTTTTTTTAAATCGTCAAAATTTTGCGGGGCAAGGGGCGTGGCTGGCTTGATTGACAGTTGGCAGGGACGACACAGACGAAGCGAGCAGAAGGCGGTAAATGTGGGCGGGCAGAGAGGGCCTGCCTCTCAATCCGTCTGACCAATCGCTGCTCCTATGGTTCCGCCCCCCTCTGACGATTTTTGCGTCACTGGCTCCAAAAATCCAAGATGTCAACCAGGAAGTAGCAAAACCGGGCTGTGTCCGAAATCACTCCCTATGCCGGCTTCATTTTCTCAGTGCAGGAACCAACGGGTGACGTCACGGTCGCTCCGTCCATCTTTTTTACAGTCTATGGTGAATCCTACTGTGACTACATTGTCCACTGATTCACTGTCATGTCATGACACAGAACAGGGTCATCCAAGTAAGTTGCCCCATTCAAGAACAATGTTTACTTTCTTTAAAAATATGTATAGCTTGAAATCCAATATAATATGTAGACAAGAAGTATACTTAAGCAAACACATTTAGTGGATAAAATAAATCATAACAGACGACAACTTAGAACTCTAAATAAGGCTTCAGTTGTGAAAACCACTGATGTCCATGGGAGGCTTCTTACCCCATTAGAGGGGCATCTTCCTTTGAAACCTCGAACCCCGCATATACGGAATGTTCCTACAACAATGGCAAACATCACCTACAAGTTCTAATAATGTTTTAAAGACAACATTCTAATCTAATATGCAAATAATGTTTTAATAATGTTTTTCATTTCAAATTCTGTCCCTACACGGTTTAAAGTAAACTGCACCAGAACCTTTTTGTAGTCTATTCAGAGAATGTCAGATTATGTTACAATAAAACAAAGAAAGAACGTTCTCAAACCAACAGTCAGAAATGTTTTCAAGATGACAGAACGGGTTTTAAGAAAACATTGCTATATTATAACATAGTAACACTGGCAGAACACTTTGCTGCAATATTCTGAGGAGGTTTTGGGGACGTTTTTGAGGAAAAATCTTCTAGAGCTTTCCTCCATAAAACATTCCCTCAATGTTACATGATAACAAAGGAAGGACATTCTCAATGCAACATCTGGCAATTGTTTGAAGAACATTCCTAGAATGTCTTTAAAGAACTTTCAAACATCTGGGAATTGAAGTACAACCTTCCTGCTGAAAATGTTACAAGAATTTTCTCAGAACTTTCCTGCGGGGAAAGTCCCAAACCTTCACTCATTACACTGTATTTATTTATTTATTTATTTATTTATTTATTTATTTATTTGAAACTAAGAGAAAAAACTCTATACGATGTAAACAGTACATGAAATAAAAATACATAAATAAATAAATAAATACATTTTAAAAGTTTTTATTGTAACCAGAAGTTAGAGGCGTACCCGGAAAACAGTAGCCGGGAACGTTCCCTGAATGTTTCCTGCGTGTGGCCAGCGGGGGGCGTCTGTCCAGAACCAGCTGCTTGGGGCTGAGGACGATTTACCGGCAGCAGGAGGACTGCTGAGGACGAGGAAGTGAAAGTAAAAGTGGACTGTTTCCTGGTTCAGACGGACCATTCCGGCCCGACATGAGCTCTTTACAGTTTAACGCGGTTCTGCTGGACATTTCCAACCGACTCTCACCCGATGAGCTCCACAATCTCAAGTTCCTGGAGCGGGATATCGGGAAACGAGAGCTGGAGAAGGTGAACACCGGCCTGAAGCTGTTCCAGATCCTGATGCAGAGAGGCAAGCTGTCAGCCGACAACACGCAACATCTGTCCCAGCTGCTCGCACTCATCAAGCGACAAGACCTCATAGGCAAACTCAACGACTTTGAAAGTCCGTCTGAACCCACCGAGAACCAGCCGGAGCCTGCGGAGAGAGGTACCGTAGACCGAAACCGGGCTGTCAGGGCCAGAGGACTGATCACAGCAAAAGAGAAATGTCTGGGATTGTTTGTTGCTTTTAAAACATGATGGAAAACGCAGACAGATGTTTCACCATGCTGAATGATTCAACAGCTGGCTCCTCCGGGTCAGGTTCTGGTTCTTGTTCTGAATCAGGCTGAGCTTACTTGATTGATCCGGCATTTGTTTATTTCATTCACAGAACTGTTTTGTTTTTGTTTTGTATAGGATCTGGTCTCGTGAATTTTAGCAGAATAGTGATTTCTATTAAACATTTTAAGCTCATTTCTTCTGACGGAACCACACATTACACATGATGCATTCAAGGACTGCTGGAAAGTTGAAACTCCCACAATTCTTTCTGTTTTCAGCGCTTATAAGTGGTGTCTTCTTGATCATTTTATTTAAGAATACAGGCCTTTAGAACCTGCTGGCAGGTTTTATTACTCAGAGAGGTAATGTGTCTCTTAGACCCTGCATGTTCTCTCCCCGGGCAAACAAAAAAAGCGGGGAAAAAAAGAAGCAAAAGCATGTTGATTCTAAATTGTCCATAGGTGTGAATGTGAGTGTGCGCCTTTGTCTGTCTCTAAGTGTAGCCCTGTGATAGACTGGTGACCTGTCCAGGGTGTCCCCTGCCTTCACCCTAAGTCAGCTGGGATAGACTCCAGCCCCCCTCGACCCTAGTGAGGATTAAGCGGTGTATAGATAATGGATGGGTGGTTTATAACTGCATGACCCCGGTTTGTGAAGTAGGTTTTCTGTTATTATACTGTGTCTCCAGGCCGGTACTGACATAACCCTGATGGCGTTGTCATCAGTATTTTCTCAGACTTAACAAAGCTCCTCCAAGACACACAATGCAACTGTTTTACAGTTTTACAGGAGGAGTTGTGCCCTTTGTGGCCAGTTAACTGACTTTGATGAGTAAAATGGCTGGAATGTCACTTTAATAATGTGACTTGAACTGTGCATCCATCACTGAAGTGACTTTGTGCCGACATGTTACTCTGACAGGTTTCACACCTGTCAGAGATGGAATCAGTGCGTCTGTTCACTATTATTGGTGTAAAATTTAGAATTCATTGTGGACGTGACTGCAGTCCAGACTCAGTCTGTGATGACTATTAGGTGTTGAGCAACACTGGACAACCAGACTGTCTGAACATGTAATGGCATGTACACAGTGGCACCGCCCATTAGTAGTGATTGCACCATTAGTAATGTGGTCGGTATTTCTCCATGTCCCAACAAGGTGCAGTTTACTGACGAGTGCATTCAGAGTAACTGCACCAGAACTGTTTCAACTGAACACACAACAGGCAGAAAAACTGGCATGGATGTAGTCTGAGAAAGTAAAATATTCACTGTCTGTCTTCCTAAACATCTAAAATAAAATGTAAAAATTAAAAAAACAACAGTTGGTAGCCGTTTTTAGACCGTCTGACAAATAAGCCAGAAAGCTGAGTGCTTTGATGAACGCTAACATGTTGTCATGATGACAGATGTGTACGGTACAGAATGAAGTATTGGTTATGAGGATCACTATTTACTGCAAACACAATTGTCAGCTCCAACATGTAGTATGTTACCTCTTGGTTAAACTTATACCAGAAGACCATGCACTCCTCAGAAACAGTCGTGAAACGGTAACTATGGTGGAGGTGAGTGGCATTTGAACGGTTTTAGTTACATGAGCAGTTTGTGCTGAACTGAAAGGAAGAGCTTGAGCAAGCAACAAACTGATGTCAGAAGAAAAGTCTTCACATCATTTGAGCATCAAAGTATCTGATCACTCACTGATGTGCATGTGGACTTTATCATAATAAGACAAAACCTAACTATGCATACAGTCGTCCTCAGATGTATTCATCCCCTTCCATTAAAGAAAAGGAAAAATTCACAATAGTCACTCAAATAACTAAAAACTGAAAAAGTGATAATAAACAGACATTTGCTAAATTATAATTTAGTGTAATAAGACATTGCTTTTGAATTGTGGTTGAGAAGAATATTTTTAAAAAAACAAACAAAATGAGAGCAGTTTGTTGAGGAGCAGTGGGCCAAAATCCAAACACCTGTCAACAGGTGCAGAAGTCTGATTGAGAGTTACAGAAAACACTTGATTGCAGTGATTGGCTCAAAGGGTTGTTCAACAAAATATTAGTTTACGGGTCCCATCATGCTTGTTTGCTTGTTTTTGTTGTTGTTGTTGTTGTTGTTGTTGTTTTAAATACTTCTGTTAAACCACAATTCAAAAGCGATGTTGTGATTTCCCTTAAATTTGTATGTATTATTACTTTTGTCAGTTTCCTTCTTTAATGGGAGGGTATGAATACATTTGAGGACGACTGTATGTAAGAGTAGAGCTGCTCTAAAGAACAACAGGGCATTTTGTGCTTTCAAGATTTGGGCCATATGGATTACATAGAGGTGTCAGGAAACAACAGCTAACAGATACCATTTGTGGCCGGAAAATCCTTTTCTCTAAACTCACAGTGTGTTCTTCTCCTCCCTCAGACAAACTGGACGCTGCCGCGGAGGTGATTGCAGAAAATCTGGGAAGGAATTGGCGTAAACTGGGCCGCAAACTAGGCCTCACCGATGTCAAGCTTGAGTCTGTCTCCAAGAAGCATCCCACAGACCTGGAAGAGACGACACTGGAGCTGCTGAAGGAGTGGAGGAAGAGTAAAAGAGCTGATGCCACGACAGAGAACCTGATAGCTGCTTTGAGGGCCTGCCAGCAAAATCTGACTGCTGATAAAGTGGAAGACAGACTGAAAGCCCTTGAAAATTGATCGAGATTAACAGATCTGATTAGACTGAAATTATTGCTGGGGGAAAAAAAAAAAGACTGCTCTGACTTACAGGAATCAGCCATCAACAAATCTATATATATTTTTATGTATATATATTAAATGAAGCACAAAAATCATGTGTGTTGAGGTGAACAAATCGACTCCTGAATGTGATAAAACACACACCATAGAAAGCAAAATGCCTTATTGCTCTTCAGTGTCAGCTCCTGTTCATCATGACTTATTGACTTAAGCTTAAATCTGAAGATTAAAACAAAATATGAACTTCTGATTTATCAAATAAAGAATGTACAACTGAAAAGGAGATGTTTAAATTCTAGTAATTGTAATGTGACACCTAATGATCATCCAGAAACTCAGATGATGCAGTTGTTTGGCATTTTATGTATTGATTTATTTGATCGGGGACCGTGCATTTAACATAGAAAACATCTGATGTATTGCACATAGAGTGTATAGCATTAAGCTCATTTTCAACTCCTGTCCCTGGTTGGGCTTTTATAGTATCAAAGGGTACATATCAGCTAATATGTAGAAAACTATTTTGTCTACCAGTCATGTTTTATGTTGAAATACAAATTAGATCTACATGTGGCAAAACGTTTATGATTAGTGTTTTTAAGTCATCTGCTCTTGTGAACTAAGAGCTGCTATTTTACATTTTTTAACGGGCAAAGTTGGTAGTGAAACGTTTTGATGCTGACCTCATTATGGCAATGAAAATGAAACTATTTACAAGTCCAGTTGAAATGACATTTGAAAACAGTCAGTGGATGTGTGAAGATATGCACTAAAGCCTGGCACTGAAGATGAGGGAGGACTCTTCCAAAAGTTAGTTCAAGAACAGTTTTTCGTAGACTGATGACAAATGCAGATAAATATAGATGACAAGTAAACATTTTTGTTGTTTGAGTTCACGTATATGTCTGTTCATTGATTCAGTCGGCAACCAAAATTTATTTTAATTGGAAAAACTTTGCTTATTGTGTCAAATATTTCAATCACGATTAATTAATTACAAAGCTTCTAATTAATTCGATTTTTTAAAAATCACACCCACCATGAGTTTAAAGTGCATGCCAAGGCTGTGGGCGTCAAACTACTGGTACTTTTTGCTCATGTTTCTGTTGATAGTATTCAACAAGCAACATCAGAGGACCAGCTGTACTCTCAGAAAAACAATAGTTCTTCAGAAGGTGTTATGACCCTGTGCGGGTCATCTGTGGTGTTTTGTGTTTTTGCTGCTTTCTTCTCTCCTCAGTGTGTGTGCGTGGTATTGGGAGCAGGTGGTGACCCTGGATTGGCTGGCTCACCTGCTGCTGCGCCGGATTCCAGCCACACAATTGGTCAGAGGGTGGGCCAACCCACTATTTAAACAGCCCGCCAGCTGCACTCGTCCTCCTCACTTCCAGCCTCGCCACCTCAGAGAAAGCCAGCAGGCCGTCGCAACTGCACTGCAGGAGGATGCAGCAGTAGCGTGTTTGTTCCAGAGTCTTGTAGTGACTCTTTGTAAAACTTGTAGGTAGAGAGCAGAGTAGGAGGGAGAGGCCTTTTTCTTTTCAACCTTTTCTCCTGTTTTTTTTTTTGTTATTAGGTAGGTAGGTAAGATTATTGTCTTTTATTTGCTTTCTCTGGTTCTTCAAAGCGTCATCACCAGTTGAAGAATGTCTTTATGTAGGGGATGTATCTTCAAGATTCAAGAGTTTTTATCTGTCCCATGCTCATACAGTATATGTGCAGTGAAACTGACTGTTCCACAGTTATATGATCCAGTGTGCTACAGCTGACAGACAAGATGCTATGATTTGGATTTTGACAGTAGGTCAGAGTTCAGAGGGCTGACAGCATGAGGGAAGAAGCTCTTCTTCGTCTACTTCTTCATTTTTATTGGCGTTATTTAGTTGCAGGTACTAGTATGAAATTAGGGCTTCATCTAACTAACAATTAGTCTGCAGATTATTTTCTCAATTGATCAATAATGAAAACAAAGAGAAATGTCCAGTTTCCCAGATCCTAAGCTGGCATCTTTTTAGATGTTGTTTTGTCTGACCAAGAACCCACAGCACTGAAAGTGTTATCATGAAAGACACAGAAATGCTGCAAATTCTTACGTCTTTAGTATATGTATAAACATTCTTCAAGTCAGTGTGTCTCTAGCTGTAAAATGCATTCAGTGTTTTATGATTTTTAGTTTAGATCCACAGGTTCATTCAAGCTTTTAGGCTTGTATGCGCCCCCTCACAGTGACTGACTTCATGTTACTTTGTGGTTCACTGAAGTTGACATTTTAAAAACCTCATTTGTCATGTGAGTGAATGAAGTCAAAAGAAATATTGTTAAATGACCAACAATTTTGCCCACTTTACAACCTGCACAGAATAATTTGAGTTAAAATGCCCAAAGAACCATTTATTTAGAAAAAAAAGTACTGAAGACGCATTTAAAAGAGGTTTTTTTGTTGTTGTTGTTGTTTTTTTTTTTTTTTTACTGAACCAGCTGGATGCACAAAGAACTGTCCTGAAAATTGTTCCTTAAAAAAAACTAATTTTTCTGAAGTTCTTTGGAACTTCAAAGGAACTGTTTTTGCTAATAGGTTCTTTGTGGACCTACAAGGGCATCACGGCGAAAAAAACAACAAAAAACAGAACGTTTTTTTGGTTCCAGTTGGCCCCTTTATTTTTCTGAAGGTTGCTGTTGATGGCTAAAGCCTGTGATAAGAGTCAAGGCAGCAGTCAGACTAAAGACTTCAGACCATGGCTGACTAATGTAGGGCCGTTCAAACCTGTGGATTGTTTAGCCCAGTGACTATGAAGATGTACCAAGAGGTTGTGTTGCTAAGGTCATCCAATTTTAAAGAGTCAGAACTAACCAAATGATTTCCACAAAAAATCTCGCAAACAATTCTCTCTTTCTCTCTTCAGCTGGTTTTCATCAGGTGAGGGTGTCGACTGCTATGTTGTGTGGATTGAGTGGTGTCACTGTTTTCCTCTAAGTTAGCTGATTGCTCAAACATTAAGGTTATTTGAAGCAACAGACTACAACACTAGTTAATGACAGAATACTTAGAGTTCCACATGCCATTCTCCTAAAAGCATGCCCTGTTCTGCTGTCTCCTGCCTCCATTTTGCTTGTTCCCCTAAAACCTTTAATAGTATTGGACCTAATGGAACCAGATCCTACCTTTACCGTTACTATCACTAATGTTCTGTGTAGCTCGTGTTTGATATGATGCCGTTTGTGTCCAGTGGAAGGTCAGGAGTTCTGAGTTTAGGCCCAGGGCACCTGGAATAAATCACTCACACTGCCCACTCTATTCAAGCCTGTGTGGAATAACTGTTCCCAGTTCTTTCCATGATAAAATAAACAAGCTGAACTGTAATAATATAAAGAAATCAGCTTTAGTGTTAATTCATTTTGATGTTAAAAATCAAATGAGATGATATTTGAAAGCAGCTGTATTGTTTGCCATTTTATTGAATAGTCAGACAGCAATCAGATTTTAATGCTTTAAAGAGGTCTGCAACTTAAACTGCCACCTGCACGAAATCCACATCTCCTTCCTGGACATGCTGTGAAGTCATTACAGTGTCAGATCAGCGGTCACAGGCGCATTTTCTGCAGAGGAAACACATGTCAGCAAGAAGACCTCTTTAGAAGGATGAGGCTGATCAATGCTCACTGAATATTCCAGTGACGTTGATTTTCACATTAAAGGAAAGGTTTTAGGTCTCTCCTAAAACAAAGCTCACTTTACAGCAGAAATAAACATGTCTACAGTCTGGTACAACAAATATTTTTTGTCTCTGTAGCTAATTTTTCCATTTTTCAACAACAATAACTGTACTGTTGCTGAATTTATAACTTATGTGTTTACACTGTTTAAGGCTTAATGTCAGGTATAATTAAGGTCTCAGGCTCCACTTCTTTCCACATTCTTGTAGCAACCAGGAGCCAGGCTCTGACAAAAATGCTCTTCAGGAAACACAAGAGTGATGTCATAGAGGCTTCAGTCAGTGGTTCAGAAATTATCTCACGCCTTTGAGAAAAGAAACAAACAGCAGTGTTTTGTTGAGCCAGCCAGCAACCGCTGATACTGGTGTTCCTCTTGGGTGTTTCTAGCTGAGCTGCAGAGCGTTCCTGCTTGATTAGTCAAACTCAGTCTGCTATCGCTTCATGCTGTCTTTGCCTGAACATTGCAATATATTTCTGCACAGAATGAGAACTGTGGATTTCAAACCCTGACACTAACTCTGGAAGTGCAAGAGGAAGGGATCTCTTCAAGAACAATATAGAAATGTACAGACCTGCTGAAGATTTTCTCAGACACAGTTAGTGGCGTCTGAAGTGAACTTACTTTGCAGTCAGTAGAGCATGTTCTGTAACATTTCTTGTACGACTACAGCATACTTACAGCACCCGTAGAGTCTGTTCAACCTATCAATGTCGTTCTGGCTCATTTGTGTGGCCTGGCCAAAGGCTACATTGCTGTTAGGAATGGGCAGCATGGTGGCATAGCCGTTCTTGCTGAAGGCGTACCTGGAGAATCACACATACCACAGTGCAAGATTAGCTTGGGTAGCAAAGAAATTAACCCTGATGTGTGATGTAATTATATTCAAAAGCAGATTCACACTGGTTGACCTGTTAGTGCTAAACACTCTGGTAGAGGACTGTATGTAGGATATTTTCTGAACTTAACCAGTAGGTTCTGACTGTGCTGAGCCTCTAGTCGGGCAAGTAGCTGTGGCAATAGTGGCTCATGTACTGTTGAAGCATACAGTGTTCATGTGAAACTAGTCAGAAACCTGAAAAAAAAAAACGCTAGAAATTCATACAGTAATTAGACACTGATGGCAAGTCCTTACATGTAGTGACAAGGAAAGTGAGAGATAAATGAAAAATGTGTCAAATAAAGTAAAAGACCTTACTTCTCATATTGCATGACAGAGTTGTAGTCATAAGGAGTTCCCTGGTTCAGAGTGGCAATCTTGTCGAAGTTGTACTTCATGTCTGCAGAGATGAGAGAAAATCTGCATTTGAAATCACAGAGTTGTACAGACTGTCAAATTTTTTATTGAAGTCTCTTTTGAAGTTAATAAACGTCACTTTATTACGCCATCTATTGAGCCACACATCAACACAGTGGGACTATTCAAGACTTCTTAAAATTCTCATTCTGCCCATGTGACACCCTCACCTCTCAAAAATCAGTTAAACTGTGACATTTCACCCCGCTGTTAGCAGTGTGGAGCTAATGCCACTGCTACTCCTTTCAGTTTGGGCCAATAAAAAGATGCGTTGGGAGGTCAGCCCAGCCTGCTGCTTGCTCTTTGCCCATCAGTTCCAACCTCACTTCCTGTCTTTTATCTGACTTTCTGTCTAAACCAAGTGTCAATCTTTGGGACTGAAAAATGAAGAAGTACAAAAACTGCAGTTCCTCAATTGGTCCTTTGAGGCTGGTTCCAAAAGCAAGTCACTCCCCGTAAACCTCCATGTTAAAATGTCTAACTTTACAGCATCGATAAACATGTTTACAGCCTGCGACAATAAACAGCTCTGGTCTCTCTGGCTGGTTTCCTGCTCCTGACAACTGTATGGGGGTTAATTTACATATAATTCACCATTTAAATTGTATGGAACCTTAAAGGTACACATAATTAAGGGTGTGGCTGCTTTGCGTGACAGATGCTGTCAAAGGACAGTCCATGATCCTGAGACATTTGCATGCGCCACCTCAGCTCTAATCACACTACACCTCTTCGCTTGTTTTTGATTTATCCAGGTGTTAGAATGAGTCTGTCACTGCCCCCACAGTGACAGCTGGAGCCACTAGACTGAGCCTAAAACTGCTCTTCAGCAAACCTTTGGGTTCTGTCACCGAGGGTCCATACGTCTCTACATACAGACAGTGGCCTGAGCCAGTGACTGGAGAGCTCCCTTCTCTCCAAAAGGCTGGACTTTTGCTTAATGTAACAGTCATCCAGGCAGCAATGTAACACTTTTAAAACAAAATAGTAAAGAGGTCAGTTATTCATTAGTGAAAATGTCTCACTATCAATGATGTTCTCCCAGTAAACCTTGATGTAGCTGTCCCTGTCGGAGCGGGTTTGTTCATGGTTGAAGCCGAGGGCGTGGAGCAGCTCGTGCTGGACGGTGCTGTGGTACACACATCCCTGACGGTCCAGAGACACCGTCTGACCACCAGTATATTGACGACCCACATAGGAGTAGCAGCTGTGAACGCAGCAACATATAACAACATTTACAGATCTCATAGGCTGTCAACTTGTGCAATTGTAAATAGGAAGGTTTGCTTTACAATCCCTCCAAAACAACAATGAAACACAAATGTATTGGATGAGATGCTGCATTCTGTCAAATCTGTTATTCTAAAGACGATTCTATGTTTTCTGTCTGTTCCATTATTACTGTTGCCTAAAATATGTGTGGTTCACCTCTGGATAATGCAGTCTGTAGTCTCCAGGGAGGACTGTGAAGCATCAAAGCTGTAACACGCAACTAACAATCTCTAGACTGATGTTTTATCCCACTGAGGAACAAGACTGGTTGAAGGTGTACATCTTAGGCTTAAAACTAGTGGTGGGACGTGATTTAAAAAAAAATAAAAATCAAATTAATTAGAGGCTTTGTAAGCAATTAATTACTCACATTTTTTATCAAATAGCAATATTTGACACAATAAGCAAAGTTTTTCAATTCAAATAATTTTTGGTTGCCGATTGAATCAATGAACAGACATAAATGTGAACTTAAACAACAAAAATGTTTATTTTTCATCTATATCTGCATTTTTCATCTGTCTACTACATTCACAGATCAGCGCAAACTCAAAGTGCAATAACAGCGATTATATTCAAAATTGTAAAACTTTTTGTCTTGAAACTCTTTGTTATACAATTTGCACACAACCATGCTCTTATCCAAGCAACTCTGCCCAACAAGCCAACAATGCATCTCTTCTTTCATCACTCTTCACCAAACCTTGTTGTGCGCTGACATCACTCAGAGCATCCTGTGCAGAGCTCCAGACTGCGACCAAAATGTTTGCATTTGCAACTTTTTTTGAGTGTTTGCGAGTTAAAGTTTCAAGTGGTTGCATTTGTGCGAGTGGATGATGATTATTAAGCTGTATGAGTGTCGCTGTAACCGGCAGCTACAGTGTTCACTACAGTGGTGGAAAGTATACCTAATGCCTTCAGTGTGCTGCGGCATTTACACTTAAAAATGCGATTAAATGTGTTATTTTTTTAATGCATAATTTTTTCTGAAATTAGTTAAAAACATAAAAACTCTGAGTCTTACCCACTATCGGACTCGATGCTCAGCCATTCATGATCCCCATTCTGATAGGGTCTGAAACGGATGCAGGAAAATGTAGAGAAAGACTCCAGTCCACGAACGATGATAGCCCGCTCCCGGGAGCCTGCCAAGAGAAATATGGAAGGTTGAGCTTTTTTAAACACCACTGTGTTTCTTAATTATAGTGTCAGTGAGCTGGTCTACAGACATGGTGATTGTATAAAAGATGATTTTATAGATGCAGTGTTGCTGTCAGAAAAGTTACCCAACAGTATATCAAGTAGACAAATTTAGCACAACCTGAAAAACACTGAAGCAATAAAATGCAAATGTTAACTGATAGTAAAACACTGACAGTGTTTATTGCTCTTATACACTCAGTCTGTTTTCTGTCTGCTCTCCTGTTCTCTCTCTCTTTTACCCGCACCTCAACCTATTGAGGCAGATGTTTGACGTCCCTGACCTTGGTTCTACTGGAGGTTTCTTCTTGGTAAAGGGCACATTTTTCCCCTCTGTTGCCAAGCACTGCTCTAAGTTAAACCAAAGGAAACTTGCTATTTGAAATGCCTTGAGCTTTTAAATATACATATACAGTACCCGTCAAAAGTTTGGACACACCTTCTCTTTCAGTGGTTTTGATTTATTGTAATTATTTTCTACATTGTAGATTTGAACACATATGGAATTATGTAGTAAACAAAAATGTGTTGAATGAATCAGAATAAGTTTTATATTTTAGATTCTTTTGCTGTGATGGCAGCTTTTCACACACTTGGCATTCCCTCAGTCAGCTTCATGAGGTGTTCTCCTGGAATGGTTTTCCAACAGTCTTGAAGGACTTCCCAGAGGTGCTGAGCATTTGTTGGCTGCTTTTCCTTCAGTCTGCAGTCCAACTCATCCCAAACCATCTCAGCTGGGTTCAGGTCGGATGATTGTGGAGGCCAGGTCATCTGACGCAGCACTCCTTCACTTTCCTTCTTGGTCAAATAGTCCTTACACAACCTGGAGGTGTGTTTGGGGTCATTGTCTTGTTGGGAAAAAAAATGATGGTCCCAGTAAGCGCAAACCAGGGATGGCACGGCGCTGCAGAATGCTGTGGCTGTCATGCTGGTTAATGTGCCTTGAATTTTGAATAAATCACCAACAGTGTCACCAGCAAAGCCTCCCCACACCATCACACCTCCTCCTCCAGGCTTCACGGTGGGAACCACACATGCAGAAACCATCACTCACCTTCTATGGTCTCATAAAGACACAGCGGTTGGAACCAAAAATCTCAAATTTGGACTCATTAGACCAAAGTACAAATTTCCACTGGTCTATGTCCATTCCTTGTGTTTCTTGGCTCAAACAATTCTCTTCTTCTTCTTGTTCATTCTCAGTCGTGGCTTCTTTGCAGCAATTCCACCATGAAGGCCTGATTCAGTCTCCTCTGAACAGCTGATGTTGAGATTTGTCTGCTGTTTAAACTCTGTGAAGAGTTTATGTGGGCTCTAATCTGAGGTGCTTTTAATTTTCTGAGGATAGTGACTCTAACTTATCCTCTACAGCAGAGGTAACTCTTGTACTTACTTTTCTTGTGAGAGCCAGTTTCATCATGGCCTTTGATGGTTTTTGCTACTACTTGGGGATACAGTCAAAGTTCTTGAAGTTTTCTGGATCGACTGACCTTCATGTCTTAAAGTAATGATGGACTGTTGTTTCTCTTTACTGAGTTGAGTGGTTTTGGCCATACTATAGATTACAACAGTAGTCAAACAGGGCTGTCCACTGTGTACTAACCCTACCTCTGCACAACACTTAAGAAGGCAATTCCTCAAATTGACTCTAGACAAGAGACACCTGTTGGTTCAAAACCATTCCAGGAACAACCTCATGAAGCTGATTGAGAGAATGCCAAGAGTGTGCAAAGCTGTCACCCACCTAGTACTATAATATTACTAATGCCTTAACTTGTAAGAAGCATTTTGTCCAATGTGGAATCCATTTCAAATATCCATTATATATTTTGGGTATAAAATCTTAATTTATAAAATAAAATTTTCAACAGGATAAATCAGTGGTTTTTGGAATCTGAAGTTTTATTTATATTGTATATCATTAGAATGTTATTACTAACAGTGTATTATATTTGAAGAGTTTTCTCTTTGACACAAAGGGTGAATTTAACGTATTAATGCAAATTGTTATTTTTGCAATTGTACAAAATAAGAAAGATTTAAGAACAAGCTTTGTCTATGAATGTGATGTGTGCTGTTGGTCTGCTTAGTGAGTGAACAGTCAGCTGATGCTTACTGTAGTGGTTCTGGATGTAGTAGGGGATGTAGACGTTCCCATCATAGTTCTTCAGCCACAAGCAGCCTCTGGTGGTGCAGGGGTCAGCGTTTCTGTCAGCCTCAGATCTGATGGCAATGTCTCCTCCGATCAGTGTGGGCTCATCCAAGCGAGGAACTGCAAGACCAAGTTAGTGAGTTCAAAATACATAGCAGGTTACAAATAGCTTGTTTACAGTCAGTGGTGACAATGATCACCTGATCTGAAGCTAATAAATCAAAGCTTTTCCTTTTATCAACATGGAAAAGTCAGAACACCATCACATTCTGCTGAAGGTAGAGTTTAAAAAGATACCCCCACTGCTGCTGCTTCAATGAACATGGTGGCTTAGTTTAAATGGATAGTGAAAAGTGCAGGCAGACTTGTGTGCTCTCCAGCAGATAACACACTTACCGCGGTTTCTGTTGGCCCTCTCCAGCAGCTCACCAACAGACAGCTCCTTCCCTACAGCAAGAGCACATTGTGTATAATATTGTATCAACGGTGAACATCATCACTTGAGCTCAATGACATCAGAATTACAGTCTTTGCAAATGCACAAACTGCAGCTCCACTTAGCTGTAATAATACAATCATCCATCAAATATACAATCATACATTTACAATCATTCTGCTGTATTACTGGCAAGCTTCTATTCAAAGCATCAAAGCCTGATAAAGAGCAGTATTCATTTCTTTCCTACCTTCCTGCACTCAGCCACAGCACCATGAAACAGAGGAGAAAGGAAATGTTGTAGAAGCTGTTTGTGATGATGTGCTGAAGCTTATTGAAATCTACATTTACAAGGAAAATGACTTTGGAATTCTATAAAGGTAAAGCATCTTTCCATTGAATCCCAAAATTTTAAACATGAATGAAGTAATAATTTACATAAAGCAATCCTTTAACGATTAGAATGTATTTTTTTCATTTTGAAATCTGAAATATTTCTTCATGGTATTTTTTCCAGTTCAACTTGAATTTATTTTTACTTTTTATTTTTGAATGCTGCTTTTCCAAATGTTCCTTTTTTACATAATAATCTAATTTCTGAATTTCATTTTCATTCCCATGACAGTGGAATTGTCCAAAACCACCAAAAGTGACAAAGAAACTCAGGACACCACAAGACCTTCAAAATGTACAGTTTTGCAATGAATGAGAAATGAACCAATAGAGCTCTGACCTTACGCTGCCAACAGTGATGAAACAACACTTTCTAATAATAATTAATCATTTTTATTTCATACAGAACATTGGAGCTCTGTTTCCTTCCGACTATAGACAGTGGTTTAGATACAACAAAATGATAGTGAAGATATTTCCACGTTTTTATGAAGTTTCTTTGTAGTTATACAGAACTATTGAACTTCTCTTGATTTTAATCTTCTGAAGTCAGTTTATGGCTTTTCATTTACAAACAAAGTTTGTAACATAATCTGTCATTTTGATCTTCTTGTTTTAAGATTTATTTGGCTGATTTTCTCTGATTTACATGAACACCTGTAATTTTCTCAGCTCTTTTTATCTGGATGAATTTGTCCTCCACACATTAGCTGTAGTTGTACCCTGAAAACATTAGAATACATTTCTGATTGTCCTACAGAATGTCTTGGTCCTACATATCGACTCTGAGGCCATGTCTGTGGGATGTGGTAGTTTCTGAATTTTTCTACCTCGGCCCAGGAAGACGACACCAGCAGCAGAGCCACAACGGACCAAGAGAAAACCAACATGGCTGCAGAAGATCTGTAAAAAAATATATATACATATATTACACTGACAAAAACTGTAAACATTTCAAAATACAATTGGAAAACTGGAAAAAAAGAAATCTGTAAGTTTTGGGAACTTTTTAAAAAAATTATTACACAAAAGTGTTCAGCATTTTGCAAAAACAAAAATATTAGTAACATTCACACACCTAATGTAGATAACGTAGAAAATAACATGTATACAGGATTTAAATAAAAAAAAACTTTAAAAATTGTAATTCTATTCACAAGTGTTTAATAATGGTGACTTTACTTGTTTTCAAAGGTAAATTCATAAATTTTTAGATGGACAAAGTTTTTAAAGTTATTAAAGATGTGTAAAATATACAGGTTTTTGTGTAAAGTTATATGTTTAAACTCATTTTACAGTTGACCTGAATGAACAGTAGAATCTTGCAGTTTTTTTAAACTAAATGACAAGTTTTTGAACATTTTCTTGTATTTTGACATTCTAAAAGATGTTTTATATAGAATTATACAATAAATCCCAACTAATGATGGAACTTTTCTGCAGTATGAAGCACATTCATTTGTACTACAAAATGATTGATCCATTTTTATAGGCAATTTTATTGTTTTTACAAAAAACATAAATTTATATAGTCCCCTGCCTTCACCCTGAGTCAGCTGGGATAGGCTCCAGCCCCCCCTTGACCCTAGTGAGGATTGAGCAGTGTATAGATAATGGATGGATGGATAAATTTCTATATATATAATTTAATAAAATGAAGGCATCAAGCTGCTAAATGTTACTGTTTTTCTGTTGTTGTTGTTTTGTTAAATCTTTTTTTTTTTTTTTTTGAATCTTATTAGATATTAATCCAGTGCAGGCTAACATCATGGTCACCTAAATCACTGACAGTATGTACATGAATGATGGAGTGTGTAGCGGTGCTGGAGGATGGGGTTCTTACCTGAAAGCCTGAAGAGTGAATGTCTGCCTGGCAGCCAGTGAGAGTTTTTATAGTGTTAAGATAAGATCAGCTTTTATTAATCCTTCAGTGGGACATTTGTGTATTTGTTCCAGGTCTTCAAGGACTAAGAGGAAACACGATGTGTCAAAAGGTGCAAACACACTTTATCACTGTAAACAGAAACTTCGAACAACTTGTGTGAAACTTTGCACCTGTCGCTATGTGTGCAACTGTGTCTTTCTCTGTACAGGTAAAAAAAATAAAAAATAAATACAGATGGATGAGCAGTGAAAGGAAAAACCTGAATGCTTGACCTCTACAGTGAGAGGATCTGGTAGCTCTGTTGTGCTGTAGAAGGCATTTTGCTGCAATGGTTTGAGTCCACTTGTCTCCTAAGAGGGAAGGATCATTGCAATTCAATACAGTTGTTCACCTTTATCCAGTGGTGAAACATTTCTATCCTGCTGGGAGTGCTTTCTTCTAGGATGGCAATATTCCAATCCATAGAGACTTGCTGGGTTACTGAATGGTTTGCAGAGTGTAGAACACCCATGGGAGATTTTGGACTGACATTTCCACCTTTCTATGATCATGCTCATGTTGTTCTGTGCATGCTCTCTTAAGGTCCTAAGGCAGGCTCTAGCAGTAATACAGAGGGTTTCTTTGTTGGTTTAAACCTGTGTATGACACTGCCAACTGTTTCACCCTATACTTTAGGTGTCTTGGAATTTTTTAAATTTTTTTAAGCCATTCCTTTTTGGTGTAGTGAAATAATTTTTCTTGTTTTCTAGGAAACTACTGCAGGTGGAATTTAAATCTAGATCAGCAGAAGCAAATTCAGTATCATTACATACGTTGACAAAATTGTTGGTCCCCCTTGGTTGATGAAAGAAAAACCCACAACGGTCACAAAAATAACTTGAATCTGACAAAAGTAATAAGAAACAAAAATTCTATGAAAATTAAGCAATGAAAATCAGACGTTGCTTTTGAACTGTGGTTCAACAGAATTATTTTAAAAAATAAACTCATGAAACAGGCCTGGACAAACATAATGGTACTCCTAGAAAAGATTGAAAATAATGTGACCATAGGGACATGTTCAATCAAGGTTTGTCCTCTCATTAGCATCACAGGTGTCTACAAACTTTTAATCAGTCAATCGGCCTATTTATAGGGTTACAAGTAGTCACTGTGCTGTTTGGTGACATGGTGTGTACCACACTAAACATGGACCAGAGGAAGCCAAGGACAGAATTGTCTCAGGAGATTAGAAAGAAAATTATAGACAAGCATGTTAAAGGTAAAGGTTGTAAGACCATCTCCAAGCAGCTTGATGTTCCTGTGACTGCAGTTGCACACATTATTAAAAAATTTAAGCTCCATAGGACTGTAGCCAACCTCCCTGGACGTGGCTGGAGGAGGAAAATTGATGACAATTCGAAGAGATGGACAATACGAATGGTAACAAAAGAGCCCAGAACAACCTCTAAAGACATTAAAGGTCAACTCCAAGGTCAAGGTACATCAGTGTCAGATCGCACCATCAGTCGGTGTTTGAGCCAAAGTGGACTTCATGGGAGATGACCAAGGAGGAAACCTTTGTTGAAAACAAATCATAAAAAGCCAGAATGTTGACAAGCCACAGATTCAAATTATTTCTGTGACCATTGTAGGTTTTTCTTTCATTAACCGAGGGGTACCAACAATTTTGTCCACGTGTTTATGTTGTAGAGGTCGTGCTGCAGAGTGAATTTGGGATGACCAGCCACCTCCCTGATGATATTGTGTATATGACTATATGTGTGTGGGTTTGAGGACAGTCCTTTCAGTCTGATACACTTTGCATAGTTTAGCATAGTGCATTTTAAAAACAAGAGAATTGTCAAATGCATACAAAAATGCATTTCCTGAGCAGCATTTCCGTCCACATAAATTTTGTGCTTGAGTCCTTTTAGGGTCTGAGTTTAAACATCTGTCACGCTGTGTAAAAAAACATGCACTGCTCTTATCAGTGTGGGACATTCACCATGCTGCTGTCAGTACAAACCCACCCAAACCCACTCACTGTGGCAAGGCCAGTCACATGGTTATGTCACAAATGTATAGCGGGAAACCTTCATTCATCTGCAGGTAATATGTCCAATATATCAGCATAATAACTCATAGAGGTCAGGCTTGTGCTTGCTATCACAGCACATGAGCACAATGAGTATGAATGATGTGTTTGTTGAAGTGGATGGGTAAAAATGGACCTTTAAGAGCTAAGATATGAATGGATGCTGCAACATGTAATACATATTAAAGGATCAATTAAGAATTTAGGTGAATGCACCTTTCTTTCTTTCTGAGAGGGGGATGAGGTCAGCACCAAACAACAGTTAACCAGTAAGCCTAAGTTACCATAAAGACTAGAATAAGGGACAGCTCTGGTCTGCATAACAACACCCCCACCAGCACCTCTAACACTCACTAATCTATTCATTTATCTCATTTGTTTGTTTATTCTTGCTTACTCCTGGAAGCTGCACAATGTCACTACAGGGAAATGTGTCAGCAGGACTCGCCGCCACCCCCCGAAACCACAAACTGTCACCGTCTGCAGCCTTCTCATCTGCTCATTGGATTCGGCTGTAAAAGCAGAGCTGTTTGTGCATCTCTGCGTGCATGTGTTTGATGCACACAGTATGTAAAGTGTGAGCACTAAGCTTCACTTGTTTTTTCTGTTGTGAATCTCTGCACATGATGCTCACAAAAGCATTTGTTTTGTGCAGGTTCTCTACTGACTGAATTTACACCTTATTGGGGTTTTATTTCTAAAGGCAAACCTTTTCTATATTCTTTACAAACTTTCAGATTGTTTTTCCTCTGGTTTATAAAGTGGGATTTACAGCCGCAGATATATCTTATATATCTTATTCATCGATTGTTGCACACTTTAAAACGTTTAGAGTTTTAAATCTATATTGCAGTTTAAATGTGGGTCCATGTTTGCGAGACCCAGACAAAAAGAAGATCCAAGCCAAAGCCTAACTGCAGGGATGAGGGGTGAAAAGAAATGCATCCATATTTTAATTTCACTGTGTCGTCTCCTTCAGCTGTTCTTAAGCAGCCGGAGAGGCTTTGTGTCCTTGTGTGTACAGCACTTAACCAACGCATCCAATACATCAGTAAATGACGAAATGAATCAATCAAACTTCAATTATACAGTTTGTTTGTTTGTTTGTTTTAAGTCAGATGCAGCTCAAAATATCTTACAAGCAACTGACAAAATGTAAAATGCTGAAAACAGATGTAGATTTATTTCTGATGCACACCAAAACAAGAAAATTGAACAAGACAACAATAAATGGTGAATCGTTAAACATTAAACATCATTTTACCAGTGAAATAAAGTAGAGTTTAATAGTATATCACTTACAGCTGTGGGAATTATACAAGTATTTTAAATCCTATTGATTGTTGTAATGATGACATTAGTGGTAAAGCTCAACTAATACAAACACAACTAAGTGATCGCTGCCCTCCAGTGGGCACAGCCTGGTAAATGCTGCACTCACTCTATAAATGACAGAACAGTGTCAAACAGAACATGATACCATGTTAATATTTACAGTTCAAGGATCAGACACATGGGTCATATGAAAATGTACACTAAAAAAAAGAGAAAATCCTGTTGTTTTTAGGGTAAAAACTGCCAGCTGTGGTTGCCAGACAAATAATGTAAAAATACAATAAAGAAAAAAATAAATAAAAAAATTACAGATTGACCAGTAAACTGGAAGGTTTAAAACCTTTTAAAATGTTGAACCCAACAGTCATTCTGTGCTGAATTAGCACCACCACACTGAAGTCTCACTATGATAGTCATTCAAAGGAATTTTATTTTTCAGATTTAACTCAAGCGGTGTTGTGTGTTTTACTGTATGAATGAAATTAAAGACTTTTACTGTGAAAACTGAATTTCTCATTCATTACAGTTTAAGGGCACAAATATTACATCTGTCTCAGATATAAACTCTGAAACTGTCTAAATTATTTTTCATTGCTATCAAGATTACTGCTCAGTGAAAAATAGAAACAGTTTCTATACATTTCAGGCAGATTGAACATTTTTATGATGACAATACAACCCTGAAATCGTTCCCCCAATCAAAATAAACAAAATTCTTATGAGTTACTATGATGATTGACTACAGCTGCTGACTACTTTGAGCTAATGTGAAACAGTCATCAGATTCAGCCACAGACACTACAGTGGGAAAGTCTGAGGAGCTGAGTGCAGATCTGGAAAAGTCAATAAATTCATTGTGAGCCATTTCAAAGCAGCAACACATGCCCCTATCATCTGCACAAACAATCATTTTTAAGTATAAAGCTCAGTTATGTTGCTGCTACGATCAGGAAGAAAACGCAAACTATCACCTGTTGCTGGGAAACAGTTGGTCACGATGATCAAGAGTCAACCAAAACTCCTCATAAAGCAGATCTGCAGTGAATTGGAGGCTGCTGAAAAACAGTGTCCACAGTCAAGTGTGTGTTACATGGCCATGGACTTGAGATGCTGCTGCACACGACAGACGCCTTTTCTCCATAAGCAGCAACTTAAGACTCAACTGAAGTTTGCTACTGATCACATGGACACAAAAAAAGGCCTACTGGAGGAATGTTTTGTGGTCACATGAAACAAAAACTGATTTATTTAGCTACAATGACAAGAAATATATTTGGGGAAGAGACGGTGAGGCCTTTAACACAAGAATGAAGAACTGTGCTAAACAAACAAGTCTGTGTCTGAATGCCAACATATTTAGATAAACAAAGAGGAGGGGTCAAAGATACAACCAGAAACTTACCAGAAGTTTGTGATCAGCTACCAGAAGTGGCTAGCTGAGGTGAAAAGGGACACTTTCAGTAGTCAGTATCACTGCTCTATGATTAGGACACAAGTAGATTTGACTGTTGTTACAGTTTTGTATAAGTTGCTTGGATGCATGTTTCTTTTTTAAGGTTTAACATTCAGTTCAATTATTAAATTGCACCTCAAAAATAGTCTGTCTCTCTGTGTCGGCCCTGTGGTAAACTTGTGAGGCCTTTATGCTCTGTGTCAGCCCCCCTCAAGACCCTCTATAGATGAAAGCGGGTATACAAAGGCACACAAAACAATAACATGCTTTTAAAATGGCTTGAATCACTAAACACTCTTACACCCTATACAGTGCACTCAAAATATCCCACAATGCACCGTGAAAAGTAGTGCACAGCCGATGGTCACTAACCCAGCAATATGGACCGTCATGCATTGCGTGAAAGAAATGGAAATGAGACGAACGAGAGTGCAAAATATTCCTGTTTGTTTTGTTAAATTTTATTTTACCAGGACAGTGAACATTGAT